ACTTCCTTGCATCTCTGGGGATAAAATGAGGCAGCGTCTGTAAAGTCTTGTTCTTTCCAAGGGCAGGATGGTGGTTAATTTGGTTCTACTCCCAGGATATTTACTTAACCAATTAGGAGAATCACCTTAAAACCGGGAAAAACCATGGGCACAGCGGTTCATGGTTCTTGCCCTGTCTGGACATGATTGTGTACATGATCATCTCTGCAGCTAAAAGAATCCAATGAAATTCCTGCTGTTATTGTTTTCCAACCTTTTTCTGTCCTTTTATTTGCAACCCTAGTTGGATGTCTTAACTTCTGTAAGTATTCACTTTTTGTCTTTGGATTGTGAATAATTGGTCTACTTTGAAGCTCAGAAGAGTCAATGTGAGTAACATGGACAGAGTAAGAGAGTTATGACATTAGCTGTTAGTGACATTAGCTGGAAGCCCACAACAGCCATAGAAAGGGGGAGACTTCGCGACACCACCTCCCTGGTGTCCACTGGACTTTGATGGGTGGCATCCACTAGCGGAATTCAGAAAAAGGAAGGTGTGAAATCGGTTTGTATAAAGAAGAGTACCATGCTAGGGAGGAGGGTTACTGTATCACCTCTTCAGAAGCCTTGTATGATGCCATCCTGGGATTCAGCTGAGTAAGCCTGCGTTCTTAACATTGTATAAGACATCCTAACATAGAAGCCTATGGAATGTGGCCACCTGTTTTCAAATCCAGCCCCCACACTTGTGTGACCAGGGGCTAATTGCTTAAGCTCCCCACAGGTCCAATTTCTGCATATAATTGGCATACAAGGGTTTGTTTTGAGCATTGATGTAAGTTATATGCAGTAATATTTGGAAACGTCTTCGAATGTGACTGGTGTAGGTAAGTGCTCTAGATCTCACATTCCCAAGAGCACATTTCTCAGACCATGAGTCATTCCTGCCTCTGACCATCCTGCCAAAATGCATGCCTTCTCAGGTCACCTTATTCTGAAGAAAATAAAACAACAATTTGTTGTTATTGAAGGATTAGAGTGTGGGAGGTTGATCTGTATAAACTTTCTGATACATTCTCCTACACATAATCCATGGATCTTACCTCTTAGATACTTAAAAAAGGTGAACAGTTTACATCAAAATTATTTGTAAGTCTAGAAATATTTTCAGAGGCTTACCAAAATACAAGCTTTAATTTCATTTCAACTGAGATTTGAGTTCATTTGTTTATCTGAATCAATATAATTTAAAACATGTTTTCTAATATGTTGCCTTGGTCTAAGATGGTTAAGAGTTTGTCATTGTTTTGACATGTACAGTTGGAATCTTCCTTTCTATAGCAGTCCAAGGAAGGAAAGAGAGACAAATACCACTTCCACTCCAAGCCTAGCCATCAAAGCCAGGGTGAATCAGTCTATGGGAAGTCTGCTAGTATTTGAAGGGACAAAGACGTTCTTTCCCCTGTATAAACACTTCTAACCGTGAATTGCTAATGCGAAGACTTTTTTTTTTTTTTTTTTGTCGAAAAGGAGTCTCGCTCTATCTCCCAGGCTGGAGTGCAGTGGCACAACCTCGGCTCACTGCAAGCTCCGCCTCCTGGGTTCATGCGATTCTCCTGCCTCAACCTCCTGAGTAGCTGGAACTACAGGTTCTCGCCACCACACCCGGCTAATTTTTTTGTATTTTTAGTAGAGATGGCTTTTCACCGTATTAGCCAGATGGTCTCCATCTCCTGACCTCATGATCCGCCTGCCTCGGCCTCCCAAACGGCTGGGATTACAGGTGTGAGCCACTGCACCCGGCCTTAATGCAAAGACTTTCTAAACACTAGTGGGAAGGTTTTCATTTGCATTTCATAATTAATAAAAGTATCTCTAAGTAGTTTATGTCGAGACGGAAGTTATGGTGATCGTCCTCACTGAGGTCAGAACACCCTCTTGCGGGCCCTCTCTCCCAAGTCTTTAATTAACAGAAGAGTTTTCTATAGCACTGGGGTCTGGGACATGAGCAGGTCTGAACAAGAAGAGCCACAGTGGGAAGGAGGCAGAGATAGGAGGCTTGCTGGGAGCATCTACTTCTACCTCCTTACTAGTTTCAAAGCAAAGGCGGAAAAATTTATATTCACCCCTCTGTATCTAGCATTTGCTCTTACATTGATTTCACTTTGCATTATTCAAGAACACATTCAAACCTCCCATTCATCTTCTTTCTCAAGTCAGTTTGTATTTTCTCTTTCCCTTTCATACCTATTATGACCATTTATTTCAAACCTTCTTTTAATAACTCATAGGTTTACTATTAAGTAATATCCTCACTAGTTTCTCTGCCTCAAGAATATCTTCTCTGCAAAAGTGACCATATATAAAGAAAAGTTGTTATAGAAAATGCCACTTTCATTAGGCCACCTCCCCCTTAACCACTGAAGTGCGTTTTGCTGTCAGCAAGGTGAAAGCTAAACCTCTCAGCCCATTGCTCATCCTTTCCAAATCCCTCATCCTCCTAGCCCACACCACACGCACAAACCTTTGCTACAAAGCATTCTACCTACACATCGCTCAGGATGCTAAGGTCCTGCTATGTTCACACTGTTCTTGTAAAAGAACAGGGGCCTAAAAAACCTCTGTTCCCTTTTGTTTTCCTAAATATTATCCATTTTCCAAAAGTTAATTATTTCATTTCCCACATTTCTACATCACATGCACCTTGATTCCCTTGAACTTCTGAAGTACTTTGTGCCTTCCCTCATCTGGTTCAACAGACATCATCGTACATACTTATTACAATTGTAAGGAAGGAAAATATCAGTTGTTGAGAAATTAAAATGTATAATCAGAGTAGTAAATAATGTTGAGATAAGTAACTGGATTACCAGAGGAAATTTGGGATTGATGCTAAATTAATTTTGATTGCTGGAATTCCCAAAGTAGAATTTGGCAGTAGAAAAGAAGAAAAGCATAAACAATTTGGGGGTAGGGACAACCACTTCTGAGAGAAAAAAAATGCAAATGTCTTTCAGAAAGAAATTTTATGAATCGGGACATTCTAACACAGTGGTCCTCAAACTCTAGCATGCATCCTGATTATTTAAAGGGATAGTTAGAACACCTCTCACTGGGCTCCACTCCCAGAGTTCCTGATTCAGCAGATCTGAGGTGGGGACTTGAGACTGCCTTTCTAGCAAGTTCCCCAGTGATACTGACATAGCTGAGCCAAGGACTAAACCTTGAGAACCGCTGGTCAGGCCCGTGAAGAAGACTGTGATAAATATTAAACAGATATTTGTTGTAAATTCCAGTAAGAGATCAAAAAAAAAAAAAAAAAAAAGAATTGACTCGATCATGGACAATAAAATATTTTATTTTGTGTTTGTTTGTTGGCTGATTGGTTGCTTAGCTGGTTTCACTATAGGGCGTATCAGATGGATTTAGGGAGAATATATAATTTCTGATTTCTCCAGCCTTCATGAAGCAATCTTTTAGAAAATATGAAGTTTACAGTGGGATAAATTATAATGAGACCTGGGTAAATAGATTATGAGAAAATACTTTTTGAGATAAGAGAACTCTGCTGGATACTATCTCAGCTGTAACTGACTTTGAAAAGCTAATTTTTATTTATTTTCTGAAGTGTGACTATGCTCCAGGCCAAACAGTGAATTCTACCCTATTTTCATTGTTGTGTAATTACATCTAATGATCGCTCATAGTATACAAGCCTCTAGTGTTTGTTTTTCCATTGAGCATATACGCTTATAGCCAACACCAGCACTTTTGTTGAATCTTATGTGGTTATCTGAATAATGGAGTTCAAAATGAAGAAGAGAGAGGGGAAACCAATAAAGAGCAAATTCTTGGATGCAGAAGTTTTATCAAGATCTAGACAAAAAACTTAGTTGTAAAAATTAATAATATAGTTCAGGGAAAAGTACCTGAGCAAACAGTTATTAGATTAGGAATGTGAAATACTGGGGAAAATCCTGAATCTATTTGATGTGGCCTCATAGTGGGATCCTGCAAAGGTTACCTCCTCTCAACAATGCTTATGAATAGGTACATTAAACATGGCTTATTAAATGACATTGAGTGTTTCCAATGTTAGATGTTGCACTGCAAACTCAGAAAGGAGGAAACAATTTTTTCTCTGAGACAAGAAAGAAGGAATGGAAATATGAGCAGAAAGCAGCTTGATGGAGAAATACAGGATTAATTTGCTATTCTCAGTCATGCAGATGATGATGTAACCCACAGAGGATGGAAGGAATATGGACAGTGGTGAAAGCTCAGGGCAGGAAGAACAACAAAAGGAAAGGGAGAGCCGGCCAGACAGCTATGAACCAAAACGAGAGCTTGTTGTCCCAGCTAACTAAATAGGAGCCTTGACTAAAAACACACGGAGCAGTTGCTGAAAGGTGACAGCACTAATGCTGAGACATTTGCTAGAAGGTAAAGACTTTAACGTATAATAAATGAATGTGAATATTATGTTGCACAATTCAGATATTTCAGTTCTACTGAGGGACAAGTTTTCATTGAACAAAATGTAATACAACAAAAGGAATGAAAACTGTCTGATATTTTTTCTGTGTGTTAGATAAATTAGAGTGATGTTTCTAAGATCTCACAAGTTTTTTTCGTAAAATTCGACTGTGTCAGCAATCACTATCCATGGCAGATGCTAAAGCGTATGTTTTTTAAAAAACAGGATAAAATCATGAGTCACATATGAATATAAACACAGGTCAAAGATTTTATTTAACTCAATAATTAATGGGGGAATTTGCAAGATATTCCAACTGGTTCAGAAGAGAAGTCAAAGTACCACAGTGAAATCAAAGTACCACACATATAAGGGCAGATAAAGAAAGCTGAAATAAATTTACAAATAGATGTAAAATAGGTCTACCTACAGAACAGTAATCAATTACATTACATCAGAATATAACTAATTTGTATTTTTATGAGAAAGAATAATTTGCATATTAACTGCTTCCTACAACTTCCAGAATTGTAAAGTAGCTCAAAGATAATAAAATACAACTAGACAGGACACTTAGTATTTTTCACTGTTGTTATTTTCTTATTACAAAGTTTTTCACAATTTTTCCTGACTCTGGCATAAGAATGAAGATTGGATGAGCAGAGGAAATGCTATTTGTTAACGTCCTCCTTGTTCCTTGGTGTTGTCTGATATGATCTTGAATTTTTTGGCAGATGCACATGTGAGTGGGAGAAAGATAAGTGAAGGAAATAAAACAGTACACCCTTTTGTCCAAGTCTAAAACTGCTTACTTTATTTTTTACAGCAACTGGTAAAATGTCCAAAGAAACGAACAACTTCACCTTTGGGAGAATATTCTTCCTCATGGGGTTCTCTGACATTCGGGAGACCCAGATCCTACATTCTGTGCTCTTTTTGCTAATTTACCTGGTGGCACTGATGGGGAATCTTCTTATCATCACCCTCATCATCAAGGATCATCGGCTCCACACGCCCATGTACTTTTTCCTAAAGAACTTATCTTTCCTGGATCTGTGTCTCATTTCCGTCACTGTTCCTAAGTCCATCACAAACTCCCTGATGAATTGCAACACCATTTCATTCCTTGGATGTGTGTGTCAGGTTTTTTTCTTCTTTCTCTTAGCCACTACAGAAGTAGCTATTCTCACGGTCATGTCCTATGACCGCTATGTTGCCATCTGCCACCCACTCAGATATGAGGTCATAATGAGTCATGAAGCCTGTGTGCAGACGGCTGTCTCTTCATGGGTCAGTGGTAGCCTCAATGCAATCCTGCACACAGCTTGCACCTTCTCTGTGCCCATGTGTGGGTTTCCTGAGGTTCATCATTTCTTTTGTGATATCCCACAACTGCTCTCCCTTGCCTGTTCTTACAACACTGGTGAATTGGTAATCATTGGGCTCAGCCTCGTGTTGGACTTTGGCTGCTTTGTGTTTATTGACATTTCTTACATTCACATATTCTCCACTGTGCTGAGGATGCCCTCCAAAGAAGGCAGGTCCAAAGCTTTCTCCACATGCCTGCCTCATCTCATTGTTGTGACTTTATTTTTCTCTTCAGGGTTTTTTGCCTATTTACGCCCTCTGCCTAAATCTCCATCACCCTTGGATTTGCTGGTTTCAGTGTTCTACACTGTGATGCCACCCATCATGAATCCCTTCATCTATAGCCTAAGAAATAAGGATATGAAGATGGCATTCTGGGAACTACAAATTAGTAGATAGCATCTTTCAAATTAGAAGAGTTATTCTCACATACAACATCAGCTTTTCATAATCATCTAAACCATATGGTTACATAGTCTGGCAATAATATTGGACATCTAGAGTAAGAGTTCTCATGAAAAATCTGGTGGCACTCATTGGAGTGCTACTGAGAAGTGCCCTTATGCCCAGATCGAGTGTGTGGTAAGGCCAGTAGTGTTCCACTTGTAGACACTGGGAAGAAGTATGCCTTGTATGTATCACCCTAGTGGGAGCTCCTTTGTTTCTGACAACTGGACAGGATGCTGGGACATTGGAGATAAACGTGGACACTCCCAGGAAAACCAAATGTATGGTCATTCTTAACAAAGGTGATATCTGAAATGCTATGTGAGATGACATGTAGAATCAATTCTCAAATTAAAGGGACTAGGTAGAGGTGATAGTTGCACAACCTTGTGAATGTACTAAATGCCTCTGAATTGTACAAGCTATAATGGTTGATTTCATGTTATGTGAATGTCACAACACCAATAAGACAAAACTAAAACCAAACAAGTCTCTTTTCCTCTTTTCTTCCCCAAATCTACTAACATTTCCTAGCATAGTGTGCATCCTTGTCATCTGAAGACAGATATATTAAAACTCAACTTTACTATATATCAATACATATATTTTTTAATATTAAAACAAGTTCCTGGGTGCACTGAGTAAAAGTACTCACACTAAAGAGCTTAGAATAAATTTGGGTATAGGGAGGCAATATAATATTTTTTGGAAAGGGAAATATTTAAGCTGTATTTGAGAGGATGAAGAGGAATAAACCTGAAAAAGAGAGAGAAAGACCAGAATGAAGGCTGAGAGGAAAGCAAAACTAAACAAAACCAGTGAAGGCTGGGAGAAGATGAGAACCTGATCTAGGAGGGAAACTACAGTGAACTGTGTCCTGAAACACATAAGGGAAAAGCTTGGGCAGAGGGGTAAAGGCTGGGCAAAATTTTGAGAGGCTGAAAACACATAGGGAGATGAAGCTTTGCTTGCTTGCTTCATCTTTGGCATGAAGAGAAAGTAGCTACAGGGCCTTTCTATCACATGGCTAAGCTATTAGATATGTTTAGAGAGGCAAAAACAACAGCCAAGAAAATCGAGGTTACTCCCAATAACAATTTCAGATATTATAACGTCTGGATATGCAACTCCCTGTGATTTTAAGTCTGCTTTGCCTTCCTACAGTAATGATTATTTTCCTGTTGTGGTGGACGTAGTCCAGATCACCTAGGCCTAAGATTGCTGCAGAGAAGCTCTAATTCTCTGCTTAGATGCTCTCCCAGCCCCATTGGCCTGTGATGGTGCTTATTTCGGCTGTGATTTGACATTCTCTCTCTAAGTCTTTGATATCTGCTGTCTTCCCAAGCTGTGCATCATGAGGTAGATTTCCTTCATTCGTATATATATACATACACACACACACATATACACGCACACATATATATAAAACTTTAAGTTCTGGGATAAAATATATATATATATAGTTTTACTTTAACTTCTGGGATACATATGCTGAAAGTGCAGGTTTGTTACATAGGTATACAAGTGTCACGGTGGTTTCCTGCACCTTTCTCCCTGTCATCTAGATTTTAAGCCCCGCATACATCAAGTATTTTGTCCTAATGCTCTCCCTCCCTTTGTCCCCACCCCCCACAGGCCCGGGTGTGTGATGTTCGCCTCCCGGTGTCCATGAGTTTTCATTGTTCAACTCCCACTTATGAGTGAGAACATGCGGTGTTTGGTTTTCTGTTCCTGTGTCAGTTTGCTGAGGATGATAGTTTCCAGCTTCAACTTACTGCTTTTTACGGCTGCATAATATTCCATGGTGTACATGTGCCACATTTTCTTTATCCAGTTTATCACTGATGGGGATAGATTTCTGTCTTTAGAATAGGGGCGGATCACGAGGTCAGGAGATGGAGACCATCCTGGCTAACACGGTGAAAGCCCGTCTCTATTACAAAATACAAAAATTAGCCGGGCGAGGTGGCGGTGCCTGTAGTCCCAGCTACTCAGGAGGCTGAGGCAGGAGAATGGCGGGAACCCGGGAGGTGGAGCTTGCAGTGAGCTGAGATCCGGCCACTGCACTCCAGCCTGGGCAACAGCGTGAGACTCCGTCTCAAAAAAAAAAAAAAAAAAAAAAAAAAAAAAAAAAAAGAATATGGCTTCATGTGTGGCCTACCCTGGACAGTAGCAAGTGGTTAACACATGAATGAATGGGCGCTACTCACATCTTTCTCTGTTGCCACAAAATTTTGTTATTCTCCCTATTTTCCCTATCTTTAAAAGTTTTAGGCCCCTGTGCCTGCCAGACCTTGGCGGTCCCGTGACCCCTGGGAGCCCGTGGCCATCCCGACCTAGAGGCACGCGTGGGGCCGCACAGCCTCTCAGCGGTTGCCGGGTGGTGCCCAGGAGGGCGTGGGCCAGCGAGGGCGCTCTTTGTGGCGGTAGGTGTGTTAAGATGGCGGCCGTGGCTACGGAGGAGGGGAGCGGGAGGCGGAGGAGGTGCGAGAGGGGAAGCAGCACGGAGAGGGGAAGGGAGAAGGCGGGGGAAGGCGGGGGGGGGGGGGGAAGGCGGGGGGGGGGAAGGCGGGGGAAGGCGGGGGGGGGAAGGCGGGGGAAGGCGGGGGAAGGCGGGGGGGAAAAGGGGAAGGGGAAAAGGGGAAGGGGGAAAGGCAGGGGCCACCGGTTGCCATGATTCCAGTGTTATTTTTTATAGAAATAGGAAAAAAATCCAAAAACTTGTATGGAACCACAAAAGACTGCAAATAACCACAGCAATCTTGAGCAACACAACAACAGAAAAATGAAAACAAAGCTGCCAAAGCTGCAGGCATCATGCCACCTGATCTAAAAATATAATGCAGATATATCTGACCATTTTTAAATAAGATTGTTATTTTGCTATTTGAGGTGATTGCATTCCTTGTATACTCTGGGTATTAATTATCTTTCAAATAAATGGTTTGCAAATATTTTCTCTTTTTCTGTAGGCTCTTTTCACTCTTTTGTTTCCTTTGTTATGCATAAGCTTTTTTAGTTTGATATGATCCCATTTGTTTATTTTTGCTTTTGTTGCCTGTGCTTTTGAGGTCTTATTCATAAAGTGATTTCACAGACCAACTCTTGAAGTATTTTGCCTATTTTTTCTTTTAGTAGTTTTGTTGTTTCCGGTCTTAAATTTAAGTCTTCAATCCATTTTGAATTTTGTATAGGGCAAGAGGTGGGGATCTAGTTTCATTCACCTGCTGATGGATATTCAGTTTTCCCAGCACCATTTACTGAAGAGACTGGCCTTTCCCCAGTGAGTGCTCTTGGTGCTTTTGTCAAAAACCAGTTGACTGTAGATACGCGAATGAATTTTTGGGTTTTTGTATTCTGTTTCATTTGTCTGTTTCTATTTTTATGCCAGTACTATGCTGTTTGATTACTGTAGTTTTATACTTATATTGGTTTTAACTTTTAGGTTCAGGAGTACATGTGTAGATTTGTTATATAGGTAAATTGCATGTTGTGGGAGTTTGGTGTACAGATTATTTTGCTACTCAGGTAATAGGCCTAGCACTCAATAGGTAGTTTTTTGATTCTCATGTTCCTTCCCCTACCCTCAAGTAGGCCCTTGTATCTGTTGTTCTATATTTTGAAGTTTGGTAGTGTGATGTCTCCAGCTTATTTGTTATTTTTGCCCAGGATTGCATGAGATATTTGGGGTCTTTTGTGATTCTATACAAATTTTAAGGTTTTTCTTTCTATTTCTGTGAAGAATGTCATTGGTATTTTGCTAGAGATTGCATTGACTCTGTAGATTACCTTGGGTAGCATAGCAATCTTTTTTTTTTTTTTTCTTTTTAATTATTATTATACTTTAAGTTTTAGGGTACATGTGCATAACGTGCAGGTTTGTTACATATGTATACTTGTGCCATGTTGCTGTGCTGCACCCATCAACGCGTCAGCACCCAACAACTCGTCATTTACATCAGGTATAACTCCCAATGCAATCCTTCCCCCCTCCCCCCTCCCCATGATAGGCCCAGGTGTGTGATGTTCCCCTTCCCGAGTCCAAGTGATCTCATTGTTCAGTTCCCACCTATGAGTGAGAACATGCGGTGTTTGGTTTTCTGTTCTTGTGATAGTTTGCTAAGAATAATGGTTTCCAGCTGCATCCATGTCCCTACAAAGGACACAAACTCATCCTTTTTGATGGCTGCATAGTATTCCATGGTGTATATGTGCCACATTTTCTTAATCCAGTCTGTCACTGATGGACATTTGGGTTGATTCCAAGTCTTTGCTATTGTGAATAGTGCCGCAATGAACATATGTGTGCATGTGTCTTTATAGCAGCAAGATTTATAATCCTTTGGGTATATCCCCAGTAATGGGATGGCTGGGTCATATGGTACATTTAGTTCTAGATCCTTGAGGAATCGCCATACTGTTTTCCATAATGGTTGAACTAGTTTACAATCCCACCAACAGTGTAAAAGTGTTCCTATTTCTCCACATCCTCTCCAGCACCTGTTGTTTCCTGACTTTTAATGATTGCCATTCTAACTGGTGTGAGATGGTATCTCATTGTGGTTTTGATTTGCATTTCTCTGATGGCCAGTGATGATGAGCATTTTTTCATGTGTCTGTTGGCTGTATGAATGTCTTCTTTTGAGAAATGTCTGTTCATATCCTTTGCCCACTTTTTGATGAGGTTGTTTGTTTTTTTCTTGTAAATTTGTTTGAGTTCTTTGTAGGTTCTGGATATTAGCCCTTTGTCAGATGAGTAGATTGCAAAAATTTTCTCCCATTCTGTAGGTTGCCTGTTCACTCTGATGGTAGTTTCTTTTGCTGTGCAGAAGCTCTTTAGTTTAATTAGATCCCATTTGACAATTTTGGCTTTTGCTGCCGTTGCTTTTGGTGTTTTAGACATGAAGTCTTTGCCCATGCCTATGTCCTGAATGGTACTACCTAGGTTTTCCTCTAGGGTTTTTATGGTATTAGGTCTAACATTTAAGTCTCTAATCCATCTTGAATTAATTTTCATATAAGGAGTAAGGAAAGGATCCAGTTTCAGCTTTCTACTTATGGCTAGCCAATTTTCCCAGCACCATTTATTAAATAGGGAATCCTTTCCCCATTTCTTGTTTCTCTCAGGTTTGTTAAAGATCAGATGGCTGTAGATGTGTGGTATTATTTCTGAGGACTCTGTTCAGTTCCATTGGTCCATATCTCTGTTTTGGTACCAGTACCATGCTGTTTTGGTTACTGTAGCCTTGTAGTATAGTTTGAAGTCAAGTAGCGTGATGCCTCCAGCTTTGTTCTTTTGACTTAGGATTGTCTTGGAGATGCAGGCTCTTTTTTGGTTCCATATGAACTTTAAAGCAGTTTTTTCCAATTCTGTGAAGAAACTCATTGGTAGCTTGATGGGGATGGCATTGAATGTATAAATAACCTTGGGCAGTATGGCCATTTTCACGATATTGATTCTTCCTATCCATGAGCATGGTATGTTCTTCCATTTGTTTGTGTCCTCTTTTATGTCACTGAGCAGTGGTTTGTAGTTCTCCTTGAAGAGGTCCTTTACATCCC